TATACTCGATAATGTCAAACCGCACATCGTAAAACAACAATTACGAAATGTGTAGATTCGGTGGCGAACGCTGTTACCTGCAAACTCCTTCCCACAGGCTTTACAGTGAACGCAGTGCATAGAACCATTTTCATAGCGGAGCCACTTGAAGTCTTTCAACCACTCTCTCCGAAAACTGTATGCCTTCTATTCGGCTGGTGGATCAACATTCACCACATGATCGCTATCACCAGCACCATTATTTGTAACTTTAGGTGGTTCACAAAAGAAATCGGTCAGTGTTCTTTTCATTTTCTCTCTTCTTCAGCCCTTTCTTTTTCTCGCGGTAGTTAGCGGAAAGCAGTGACTGGGTGATTGACAGCTAATATTAACCAATCTAAAATCTGCATTAAAGTTAAGAATGTAAAGATGAAGTTTAATTGGTTATGTAGCCTAACGTTTCATAGAACGGCAGACAGGTCACCGTATCAACACTCAGAAGGCACATACTCTGAATGTTTTTAGAGAAATGCAAACAGGTCGCACGACAACAATTATATGCACTCGCACAAATGCTCCCAAATATATTTTGAGGTCGCACAGATTAAATTTCGGGAGCATATGCGACCAAAATGGTCGCAATTTCGAGCCTTGATTCCTGGTAGTAAGCATTTGTTTCTTCTGTGCAACACAAAAGGTGATATTTTAAAGAATGCTGGAAACCAAACAGTTTTGGTGACCATTCACTTTCATTGTAAGGACAAAAAAACACAGACATTTCTCAAAATATCTAGGCCTACATGTAAAGAAAGTAAGTCACAATGTTTTGTACCAAGATGAGGGTAAATAATTAATGACAGAATTGAACCCTTTGTTATCATTGCAAGGGTATTCCTACTGAGGGGTTTCTTACCAGCTGCCGTTCCTTAACCATCATTGTACCAAAACCACTTACTGAGATAATGGGACATTTATTGACTGGAAACCTTGCCTATATGCTTGAAGAATAAAACAGGTGCTTGCAATACAGATGCAATCACTCCGTCATTAAAAGTAGCTATTTATGGGGCATCAAGTCAAGTCAAAACGAATCAAATTTATTTGTAAAATTGTTTGCACAAGAAATTCGTACTGTTATGTTAATGCTTTACCATAGAGCATCCTGCATCAGGCAGGTTTAAAAATGCCCAGTCATGATCTAATGCATAAACATTTGCTTAATATTAAAAGCACAGAAAGCAACAACACACATTATGTCCAGCTGATTTTAAAATTCCTTCAATCTTTACAGAATTTCTCTGAATCTGTTTGCTAAGTTAAGAACTTGCCTTCATTGTAGAAACAAAGCCATAAAAGATGGGCGCTAAAGAATGGCTCTATATTTAAACTAAGCTCTGTTAACCTTGTTAATGACAGGAGCAAGACTACTGAGCCAGAGAAGCTGCTAGACAAAAAAGGACAGCAAACCACTGTTTCTTCAGTGCCTTGGATAAACACAGCACATCCTTCATACTACCAAGCTAAAAATCTGTACAACAAAGCAGAATAATTATATAACATTAGTCTGTCATTACTAATTATGAGAATGAAACGGTGGGTGTCAGGACAGAAGTGGACCCCTAATATTGTTTTTAATACTGATGACTAGAGTGTCAAATCACGATGCTAAAATTATAATATAAAACACTACTGGAAAATCACATGCACAACATAAAATAACTGTAAAAGTTTATTCACAGCTCTCCGATTCAGTTCAACCTCTGAATGAAAAAGATTCTGATAGTTTGACCAAGTTTCCACTTGAGGCAATGTGGGTTATTTAGGCTAAACTTTTTCATACGTTTAACTCCAATATTTTGCTTCATTAATTGACGTATTATTTACATTTCAGTTACTTAATAAAAATAATGCCAGTAAATTGAATGAACACACAACATCAAACACTTTTACTCACCGGTGAGAAGGAATATTGTATCCCAAAAAGCACGATACATCATTATAAGGCGTTTATGTGACGTGCTGGTGAAGGATTTGCAGCGTCGTCTCTTTATTTTAAATCATTTATCTTTGCCAACATAGATGAAGGCACGCTCGTATTCTTTAGATTGGACAATATTATTGATAGTCCGTTGCACAGGTTAGAAATCTGACTTCCATAGTAAAACTGTGTATGTATTTCTTCATAGTTTCATGTGTCCTACTCGACAAAAGACGCCATGCCACGACTCAGGTATTTTGAACTTGACGTCAAACTTGAGCAACGCCGTTTTACCACTGACGTCATATGAAGCCCTAACTATATATATTTATTTCTAATTCACTATCACGATATAAGTGGTAAAACATGGTTAACTACAAAACTACGTTACTAATAATAATTACTCCTAGCACAGAACCCTCTCCACACCCTTGACAGCCTTCTGTTGTGCGCGCGTGCGTGCGTGCGCTCGTGTAAACTAAAGAGAGGCGTGCGTTGATGGAGATCTGATAGTGTTGTATAACTCTTTTTTTTCTCGATGTAAGTGATGTAATAATTATTTTTCTTTTTTTAAGTATGTAAACATTTTTTGACTACGTTGATATTCAGAACTAACTACAGAGTGAATTAAGTTTTTAAATCATTGTTAAACGTTTACTAGAAATGCGTGAGATACAGCTCCTTATTATTGGTCAGTTATTTCTTTAGAGGGAGTAGGGTCCTGGTTACACTGACCTGGCAACATCTTATCTATATTTCTATTGTCATAAATGTTAGAAGTGGCGTGGCTTCTTCTAATCCACTCCCACAGGTATGCATATTGCCTTACCTAGTTAAAATGATTCAAGGCTGGATTGATTTGGTTGATCGCTCTTAGTGGTCTGCTGTTACAACACTTAAGGGGAAGAACCCAAATGGTCTTAGGTCAGTTATGCATTTCTTTGTGTTACCTAAACTGATCTCAAGAGCATTTTTTTTAGCTGATCCAAAGAATGTATTAAATGCTAATTTATTGATAGGTCAACCAAAAACCTATTCCTTAAACTTTTTTGTTCCCGTGCAAAATTCAAGAGTGCCAAAATATGATAATGTTATGCTGCCCCCTAATGGAATGTATGGATAGGCTTAATGTTATTACTGCTGTTCTATACCATAAACATTTAAGTAGCCTACATGTGATGATTGAGTGTAAAACAAGCTAAATGTATTTATTTCTAAAAAAAATAAATAATAATAAATAAATTTAAAAAAATAACACGTAAATATTCCGTTTTACTGTACCTACACAGTTATATTTATATTCCGATAGGTGGAGTTGAACTACAGTTTAATTCGATCTCATTTTCTTTCAAATGGACTTGGACTTTCATGTGGACATAGTGCCAATGTATAGTTTGTAAAGAGCATGATAGATTAATTCAACAGGAGTTCTCAAGAGAATTCGAAAATCTTTTACAACATTGTTTTATCTAGTCAAGAGGGTGGTTGGTTAAACTATTCTGAGGTTACTTATTATTGGCTGTAACATTTGTAGACGTGTGTCATAGTCTCGAACTCTCTTTTCTACGCTCCTTTCCTCAGAGCATCAGTGTCTCATTTAATGGCGAGCACAAACTGACAACTACCTTCTTTATTTTCGGCTGGTGGATCAACATTCACCACATGATCGCTATCACCAGCACCATTATTTGTAACTTTAGGTGGTTCACAAAAGAAATCGGTCAGTGTTCTTTTCATTTTCTCTCTTCTTCAGCCCTTTCTTTTTCTCGCGGTAGTTAGCGGAAAGCAGTGACTGGGTGATTGACAGCTAATATTAACCAATCTAAAATCTGCATTAAAGTTAAGAATGTAAAGATGAAGTTTAATTGGTTATGTAGCCTAACGTTTCATAGAACGGCAGACAGGTCACCGTATCAACACTCAGAAGGCACATACTCTGAATGTTTTTAGAGAAATGCAAACAGGTCGCACGACAACAATTATATGCACTCGCACAAATGCTCCCAAATATATTTTGAGGTCGCACAGATTAAATTTCGGGAGCATATGCGACCAAAATGGTCGCAATTTCGAGCCTTGATTCCTGGTAGTAAGCATTTGTTTCTTCTGTGCAACACAAAAGGTGATATTTTAAAGAATGCTGGAAACCAAACAGTTTTGGTGACCATTCACTTTCATTGTAAGGACAAAAAAACACAGACATTTCTCAAAATATCTAGGCCTACATGTAAAGAAAGTAAGTCACAATGTTTTGTACCAAGATGAGGGTAAATAATTAATGACAGAATTGAACCCTTTGTTATCATTGCAAGGGTATTCCTACTGAGGGGTTTCTTACCAGCTGCCGTTCCTTAACCATCATTGTACCAAAACCACTTACTGAGATAATGGGACATTTATTGACTGGAAACCTTGCCTATATGCTTGAAGAATAAAACAGGTGCTTGCAATACAGATGCAATCACTCCGTCATTAAAAGTAGCTATTTATGGGGCATCAAGTCAAGTCAAAACGAATCAAATTTATTTGTAAAATTGTTTGCACAAGAAATTCGTACTGTTATGTTAATGCTTTACCATAGAGCATCCTGCATCAGGCAGGTTTAAAAATGCCAAGTCATGATCTAATGCATAAACATTTGCTTAATATTAAAAGCACAGAAAGCAACAACACACATTATGTCCAGCTGATTTTAAAATTCCTTCAATCTTTACAGAATTTCTCTGAATCTGTTTGCTAAGTTAAGAACTTGCCTTCATTGTAGAAACAAAGCCATAAAAGATGGGCGCTAAAGAATGGCTCTATATTTAAACTAAGCTCTGTTAACCTTGTTAATGACAGGAGCAAGACTACTGAGCCAGAGAAGCTGCTAGACAAAAAAGGACAGCAAACCACTGTTTCTTCAGTGCCTTGGATAAACACAGCACATCCTTCATACTACCAAGCTAAAAATCTGTACAACAAAGCAGAATAATTATATAACATTAGTCTGTCATTACTAATTATGAGAATGAAACGGTGGGTGTCAGGACAGAAGTGGACCCCTAATATTGTTTTTAATACTGATGACTAGAGTGTCAAATCACGATGCTAAAATTATAATATAAAACACTACTGGAAAATCACATGCACAACATAAAATAACTGTAAAAGTTTATTCACAGCTCTCCGATTCAGTTCAACCTCTGAATGAAAAAGATTCTGATAGTTTGACCAAGTTTCCACTTGAGGCAATGTGGGTTATTTAGGCTAAACTTTTTCATACGTTTAACTCCAATATTTTGCTTCATTAATTGACGTATTATTTACATTTCAGTTACTTAATAAAAATAATGCCAGTAAATTGAATGAACACACAACATCAAACACTTTTACTCACCGGTGAGAAGGAATATTGTATCCCAAAAAGCACGATACATCATTATAAGGCGTTTATGTGACGTGCTGGTGAAGGATTTGCAGCGTCGTCTCTTTATTTTAAATCATTTATCTTTGCCAACATAGATGAAGGCACGCTCGTATTCTTTAGATTGGACAATATTATTGATAGTCCGTTGCACAGGTTAGAAATCTGACTTCCATAGTAAAACTGTGTATGTATTTCTTCATAGTTTCATGTGTCCTACTCGACAAAAGACGCCATGCCACGACTCAGGTATTTTGAACTTGACGTCAAACTTGAGCAACGCCGTTTTACCACTGACGTCATATGAAGCCCTAACTATATATATTTATTTCTAATTCACTATCACGATATAAGTGGTAAAACATGGTTAACTACAAAACTACGTTACTAATAATAATTACTCCTAGCACAGAACCCTCTCCACACCCTTGACAGCCTTCTGTTGTGCGCGCGTGCGTGCGTGCTCTCGTGTAAACTAAAGAGAGGCGTGCGTTGATGGAGATCTGATAGTGTTGTATAACTCTTTTTTTTCTCGATGTAAGTGATGTAATAATTATTTTT